CGAAACATCAGTTAGTGTTTCATTCAATGCAAATACAATCAACAAATAAGATAGAAAAAAAGAAAAACAAGCACCAAACTCTCGAAGCCATAAAAAAATTAAAAGAAAAAAAATACAAGAAATGAAATTGAAAATGAGAACAACAATTAAAGATATAAAATCACACACCGACAAAAAAATGGGCAGACAACGTGCATCACTCGTAACAAAAAATGTAATGTACATGGAAAGTCGTGAACGATGCGAAGTACCTGACAGGCTGACACTAATATCACACATGAAAAATGCAACATGATACAATGTATCCTACTGCTAATGCACTGGCACCACATGTCGAAAAAAATACAATAAACAATAGTCTACAAGTCGTGTCGTAGTCGCCTAAATGATACAAGAAAAAAAAATATTGTACAGTCTGAACTCAGTCTGCTGCAACCGATGGCACTCTATGAACACCCTACTCAGCCTACTGGCACCAAAATCATACTCTACAAACACCCTACTGCTACCAAAATCATACACACCAACAAGTAAAGCACGCACACAACCACTGAGTGTCTGACAATACCGAGACAAGACGAGACGACTCAGACTACCAAAAAAACTACAATCGCACAAGATGACGACGTACAGTGCGAGTAGGGGAGAAGCGGAGTGTTGGCCTCATCGGTCAACGACCTTTCTTCCCCTTCCCGCTGTGTATCCTCGTGCCCCCTCGAGTGTCGGATGTCGACTTCTTCCTCCCTCGTGAGGATGAAAAAGTCCGTGCAGCGGAGCGTCTAGATGCACGCGTCGGTGGGGGTCCTGGGGAGGTGGGGGCTCATCGTAGTCGTCGTCGTCGTCACCATCGGAGCCGCTCCTGCTATCCTCCTCTCCCCCCTCCTCGCCCTCGTAGTCCTCGTCCACATCCCGCACAGGCGGCACAACCACATCCGTATCAGGATCATCCTCCTCGATGGTGACTGGGCCTCCTCCCTTCCTCAACACAACAACCCCCGCACTAGCCTCTGCAATGGTCTGCTCATGGCGGGAACCACGAGGCATCCCCAACCCCTCCGCCCCTGAACTCTTTCCAAATGTTGCGCCTCCCTCTGCAGGCACGGGGCGTGGACGAGGAGGCACTCCACGCAAGCGTGGAGTCTGCTCCTGCACGGCACGCGTCGCTGCTCTCAGAGCGTACTCTAAGGTCTCAGTCGACACTCCTCTGCCACGACCTCGCTGAGGCTCACAACCTGATGCCGGTACCTCCCTCACCGCGGTCATCCTAGCGCCTCCTCCTCCCAAGCCCGGCTGAAGGCGTGTAGTGTGCTCCGTGACACGGCGGGTGGAATCCAAATTTATATCTGTCCTCCCGAATATCGTCGTGTCACACACGTCCTACTGAACTGTTGTCGTGTCACGAATCCTAGATCTCCCAGGCATGTGTGGGGATCGAGAGCCTCAGTCTGTGGGCGACAATGATGGATCACCTGCAGGTGCTCTAGGAGGAGGGGGTGGCATGTCTCTTGTGCGTGGCCTGAGCACACAATCCCCCGCCACCACCCCACCCTGCACACAATCCCTCCCCCCCACCACCCCACCTCTGCCTGTGCACGACGTCCTCCCCCCCCACCGCCCTACCCTGCACACAATCCCCCCCTATCTCTCGACACCTGTCCTCCTCTACGGCCCGTGCGAACGCCTGAGCACGAGGGTCAGTCGATGCCAAAAGTCTAGCCCTCTCTCGCTCCATGATGTCGTGTGCTGCATCTGGAGACTCAGTCAACGTCCTCTCTCTCGCGGTCTGCGTCGAAGTCCTGCCTGGCGTCTCGTCCCTCGATGGAGCCCGGTCCGTCGATGTCGCCCCGGCGCAACTGGGTGGAAGGCCCACCGACAAATCTAAGTCCAAGTGGGTCCCCATCTCCGAATCTGAAATCCCAAACCCCCTCTTCACATTCGGGGTTATGCCCGCTATGGCCGGATCGAGCTCCTCCGTAAGGAACTGCTGCATGAGGCGCTCATCATTGCCCCCACGCTGCACCTCGGCCTGTGCGGCTATCTCCTCCTCCACTTCAGCTGTCGACGGTGCCTCCTCCTCCTCCGCTGCTGCTGCCACCTCAACCTCCACTGCTGCTGCTTCTCCACCTGCTCCTCCTGCTGCTGCCACCTGCCCCTCCACTGCTGCACCTCCTCCTGCCGCTGGTGGATCCTCCTCCAGCACTGATGCTGCCATCTCCTCCAGCACTGATGTTGTTGCTGCTGCTGCTATCTCCTCCACCGCGGCTGCGATCGTCACGTCCGACACCGCCGCTGGTGCTGCTGAACTCTCCACTGCTGCTGCCGAAGGTGCCCCCTCCTCCTACAATATCCCCGGGGAAGGTGATCGTAACCTAAGCTGGCGAACTGCCCCGCCTCTGTGGAGAAGGCTGCGCCGAGGCAAAGAAGACTCCAACTCCTCCCTGTCCGGCTGAAGTGGCGAGACGGGCGATGGTGGTGCACGAGTGGGAGCAGGAGGTGGCGGCATGGACGAATCCCGCCTCGTCGGAGTGGAGGTCGTCGCCTGCGCCTCTGGGCCGCCAGTGGAAGCGACCTCACCAAATGGGCCCCATAAGTCCTCGTCTCCCCCCAGCATCTCCCTCTCCGTCCGATCCGCCGCCCGTCGTGCAGTATGTGCCCTCGTCTCCTCGGAGTCGGGATCGTCGTGTGTCTCGTCGATCTCCCGGGGAATGTGGAGCGCATGGTCATCTGCCGCCTCGGGTATCGGCTCCTCGTCTGAGTCGTCCTCCCTGGGGTAGGGACGAAAAATGCAATCACGTCTATCGGAAACGACATCAGTCGAGGGTGGTGCGGACGCCCCGATGGGATCCCGGGTAATAAGTGCAACCTGACGGGCGATCTCCTCCTCCGTCATCCCCCTGCGAGTCCCTGAGCGCACAGGCTCCAACTCGAGTCCTGCCTGGCAATCCAGCATGCCCTCGTCCCGCTGCCATGGCAGCACATAACCGCATCCAGCCCGCCGATACTCAGTCAACCGCACATTTGCGGTGATCTCAATGAGTTGCACGACCTTCTCCAGGGCCAACTGGTTGCGCTTCTTCATGTGAATGCCCTCGTGGACTGCCCAGTTCCTCTCCGCTGGAGAGGCGCAAGACCACATGTGCATCACACGAAGAGCGCAACGCTGCAACTTTGGCGCACCCGACCCGAACTGAGACCACCAAGACGCGCACTCAATCGTCTCGCTGTCGCCGCTGCACGCGCGCCCACGAGCACGCCCCTCCGGCCCGCCCCAATCCCTGAACTTGCCCTGCTGAATGTGGAAGTCCTCAAACTGCCGACATGCAAGGATGTACTCCGCACCCTCCAACTCGAATCCCGTTTGCGTCAGAATATACCTCTTGCCTTGCCCCACAAGCCAAGCATCGTACCGCTCCACCTGCCCCGAAAAGTAGCGAACATGTCGCCTGCGGGGGTTCAGTAAGAACCCTGCGCAATGAGCCGGCTCAACCATGTGCTGTGTGCGAGCCTGCACACGCCTTATGATCCGCTCGGCGAACGACTTCCCCAAATGGGCGCATGCGACCGTGACGCGGCGGACAAGATCTTGCGTCCACTCGATCATGAGGGACATGTACTGTCCTCCACGATCCATCCGCCTCAGCAACTCCATGATGGGCTACATGATATGGACGATGGTGGCCACCCTCTGCCACCATGGATCCCATCTGATCTACCGGCGCACCCAACGCGCCATGATGCACACACCAGCGGACCACGGGATGGAAGCAAAAGCCCGCGCGTCGTCCCCTCGCATCATGTCCTGCAGAGTGTCCTGCAGGGCCAACAGCCTCTCCAGCATGGAGTACACAAACGCGAATTGCGTCTCGCAAGAAAGAATAAGCCCCTTGTTGGGGCTGCGCGTCCTAAAAAAATGAAGGGCCGCCTGGTGGGTTTTGAAAAACACCACCAAAACACAAGCGAGTGTGATCGCGTCCACAAACGCGTCGCAACTCGTCCCCATGTCTGACAACAATTTGTTGCAAACATGGACGGAGCACGGGAGCCAAGTGATCCTCCTCAGTGCAGGAGGCATGGACGGCGAGGTCAATGCCCTCGCAGCCCCCACATAGGCAGAAGCGGAGTCAGTGCATATTGCATTGATCCGCTGCGGCCTGCCGAAGCTGAACTCGTGGAAGATGGTAACCCATCTCCGAAGGACGTGCGCTGCATCGTCCGCCTCGCCCTCTCGATTGATCGTCGTGTACACGACGACCCCTCGAAAGCCAGCAGCAAGGAAATTCACGATCGGTCTCCCGTCTCGTGATTTCCTCCCATCAGAGAGGAAGGTGGCACCAGTCACCCAGAATGGCTGCCTCACCTCCTCCAACTCCTCTGCCAACTCCGCACGGTGGGTCTCCACCGCCCGCATACTCGCAATCTTGCAGTGGTTGGGGAGCACTGCGCGCGGGGAACTGCCAGGCTGCTCAAGAAGCACCTGCTGATATGCCTTCCACGCCTGGTTGCGGAAGGCATTGAAGGAGACCCCGCTGGAATACAACCAGCGAAGGAATGCTTTCTAATGGCGAGCAACCCACTCGCCACCGTAGACATCAGTCACCTTCTGCTGGCGAAGCCTCTTCCCTGCTGGGGTGGCAAACGGATCACTCCCTCCTTCCTTCCTCTTGGAAGACCCCTCCATTGCAGCTCCCTTGCCTGCTCCCCTCCGCCAGTCCTCCAACCTCTCGCCAGTGCCTGGATAAACCTCAGGCACGTCCTCCCGTTCCTGGACTCCCTCCTCACCCGGGCCACACGCCTTGCAATCCACGTGGATCACGCCCTCCTCCGTCTCACCGCCTCCACCACCCAAAGTGGGTTCTGCCGCACCATGCCCACCATCTCCCCCGACCCCTCCCTCCGCCAGACGTCGCCCTGCCTCTCCTCCCCTTGCACCACCCGTGTCGGGCACATCGAGTCCGCGCTCCGCCACATACCGTGCAACCCTCTCCATCTGATCGGCCTCGAACTTCTGCTGAGTCCGTCGAGCAATTTCGTACAACGCCTTGTCGTTGACGTCCTTGCAATAGTTTGTCTGCGTGAAGTGCCTCGTGCCCTGAAACTGGGTCCCTTGGAAAACTTTGTTGCAAAACGTGCAACGGAGCATCATGACCCCCTTGTTGTTGACCTTCTGGCGGACAACCAGGTACCGATAGACAAGGGAGCGGGCCCTGAATGGTCCGCGGCAGCCTTATGCTGACGGCACTGTGCCCTCCCCATGTCGGTCACCCTGGTGAGATAACCCTCGGTGACTCCCCCCGACCGCACCGCTGCAACCCAACACCCTGTTAACCGCTGCCCGCCACAAGGTCTCCCTTCCCCTACAATCCAACCTTCCTGGCAATCCAACCCTCCTTGACCACCGCCCGCCTAAGGGTCCCCCGTCCACCCCCCCCCACGCACTCCCCCGCTCGCCCGAACCCACGCGCAGTCGCCCGAACCGTCACAAACGCACCGCGGGCCCACGCGTTAGACCCCGTTCAACGGCGTTAAAATGCATTGAAACGCGTTAAATCCCGTTTAACGGCGTTGAATTACAAATTCAACGGCATCTTTCGGGAACGCGCGTGCCGGTTCGCAGCCATCGCCGCGCACTTCGCTGCTCCGCCTTCGTTGCGTCGGCGCCGCCGCTCCGCTGCGCTCCATGCTCCGCTGCCCTTCACGCTCCACTGCAACAGCTGTCTTTCTCTCTCTCTCTCGCACGCGCGCGCGCGCTCACAATCTCTCTCTCTCTCTCGCACGCGCTCACAATCTCTCTCTCTCTCGCACGCAAT